ATTTAATTGACTAACAACTTGTTTTAGTGTTGTTGTAGAAAAAATTATAGGTTATTCACCTCCTATAGCCATTTAGTACCTTTCAGCATATCGTATTTTGACGAATCAACTAATAATAAGTTTGACCAAATATAAAAAAAATAAATATTTAGGATACCAAATAAATATTATTAAATTAATCACACAATATATTTTTAGAATATATCTATTTAGATATGATAATACTAATTTTTATAAATTTAGTTAAATTTGAGCTTGATTCAGTACTCGAAGTATAAGATGTATACTTATTTTGTTTTGGGACGAGAAGAGAATATGTAACTGGTCCATAGTGTCTTTCTGCACTCACGTGATTTGAGTGCTGCGTTCCTGCTTCTATAACTCGGAAAGTGACATGTTAGGTGGTTGATTATTCAATCTTTTTTGCCTGATGCAAAATGCTAGAACGGTACTGAACCTTCACCACCCGATCTACGGACAAGAGCTGAAAGTAAATTAATATCACTAGCAAAAAAAAAAGTTCTTGTGCGTTGCAACAGGAGTAGAGTCATCGTATACACATGATTTACTAAACATAGTTACATAGCCAAGCACTCATGTTATATAAATTATCTGTTTGTTTTCGGTAGTCACATATTTGAAATAATTTTATTGCACTTAAACCATGTAATTGCATGGGCCAAACCTGTACTTTTCTATAATTTATGCCGACAATAACGTAGCGTATGTTTGGTATAGCTTCAACTCTAAAATATGGATTGGATCTTTTTGTCGTGCCTGTGTATGCCTCGTGTCCGTCTTCGCAGTGGTTTCTCCTATATCGTAGCGCTTGTTTGGATAGTCCTATCAGGTGGAGGCTTTGCCGCCGTCATTCGGCTTTCATGGTTGAGATCGTGTTGGCTTTGCCACGGCGGATGCCTTGCCGTCGAGATTACTATTATTTAATTTTAATATCACTAAAAATGCGGAAACTACTTAATAGTATATCTATAAATAACTTTCAATATTAATTTAATATTATTGATGATATAATATAAAGATTAAATATATTTTAGTATTTTTTCTAATTTAGTTTAAACCTAATATATTTGTTGTTGTAAATTATTTCAATACTTAAAGTCATTTGTCTACTGATGTGAATTACTTGATAGAATTTATATAATTTATAATTTCATGATATAGATATTATATAAATAATGATTGATTAATTGATACATTTAATTATTAAATATTTGTTGATAATTATATTATTTTTTATGAGTTATCCTTGTCTATGTTATATATCCATATACTTTGATCTCTACTAGTGTAATAATTTTGTAATTACAAAACATTGATAAAGTAAAATGGATACCATTTTTATTTGAATTTCTTCACTTGACTTATCATTTTATTAAATATTATCCATTATAATTTAATTCACTATGATATTGGAGATTATTAGAAGTGTACTTTGATTTCATTTCACTTTGGTCATCGATGAACTTAGGAGTAAAATTCTATTAATGTATGTTGAATTTAACATTATACATTTTAAGTTGAATTGAGTAAATATTCGATAGAAATCTAAATGCGAGACATCCGTTTTGTATTTGTATTCAAAAATAGCTACATATGTATTCGAATTCAAATTTAAATATGTTAAAAAGTGATATGAATCTGATTTCATGTGAATCCGATTCGTTTTCATCCCTAACTGCGTTGGTGGTCTGTAACCTACGCTATGAGGGTTTTTTATAGTTAGGTCATGTAATTCTCTTTCTTTTAATAAAATACTAAGTTTGCGGGGGGGGACCTCGGAGATGATGGTGTTTCCATCAGTTTGTTCAGCAAGACCTGCATCTCCTCGATCTTGCTGGACGCAGGACGCTGGTGTGTCTGAGTCGTCGCTCTAGTTCGATGGATCGCTCTACATCCCATCGAACATAGACCGGTACCTAGCGCGCCAGCCAAGGGGAATTGTTGGCGCCTCGACATCCGCTGGGATAGGATTCCATCGAGACGACACCGAACGGCCTAGCAGAAACGCGCCGCATTTTCACCGTATCGTTGCAGTCCTTCCCCATCTGTCTCGTCTCGCCATGCACGCGTAACCCATCCCCGTCCGTCTCGCCCCGCGCGGGCGGGACCTGGGAGCTGGCATGAGGACGAGCACGCCTGTCCGCAGGACCTAGGCGCGCCGCGTGCCCCATCCGTCGGCCCCCGGCTCGCCGCGCACCTTCCTGCGGCGCCCGTGGCGTGCCCCCGTGACTCTAAACAAAGTACCTCTGAAATACGAAATACTTGCAATATGAAAAACTTGAATGCAACGTACGTTTGAAGTAGATGAAATATTTGAAACATACACTTGTAACATGTGTGTGAAACATATGCAACATCCATATAAAACACTTATAACATGAAAACACTTATTGAACATAAGATTGAAACATCTGAAACATTTCAAACATACTCTTGCAACATATGTGTGAAACATATACAACATCCAAATAAGCACACTTGCAACATACGTCTGAAAAGCAGATGAAACATTTGGAACTGACGCTTGCAACATACGTATACAACCATTGTAATATGTGCAACATCACGATCTATTTTTACAACATCCATATGGAACACTTGCAACATACCTCTCAAATATCCGAAATAATTGAAACATACTCTTGCAACATGTGCTTTGAATGCAACATCTCCTTGCTGCTCGGCAGAATGGAGGCTCGGCGGTGTGTGGTGTTCACCGGAGGCAGTGGCCTGGCAGTGCTTGTAGGCGGCGGGCCGGCGGCAGTGGCTGCATGTCGCGGAAGGGAGGCATCGGTCGCACGACTTGGAGAGGGCAGCAGCACGCCGCGCCTGGTAGGGCCGGTAGCTGAGCGCCATGCCTGGCAAGGCCAACGACCGAGCGGTGCGTCTCGGAGACGGCCGCGTGCTGCGCTTCGGAGGGCCAGCGGCCATGCGCTCGGAGGTGGCGGGTGAGCGGATAAGAGCGATAAGAAGAGAAACGAGTGGACAGGAATAAATGGATGAGTAGTTTAAAAAAAAAAGAGCGTGGGTTATTAGGCTGACCCAGCGCCCGAGCGTCCGAGCAGACGGACGTCTGGTTCAGAGAATTACCGTTAGCGCTTACTCATTTAGGGCTCACAGAGGCGTCGCTGATTGCTTTGGGCTCGGATCGGCCCATTTGATAATGAACGGCACAGTAATGAGCTGGGTGGATCACGCCAGTGGGTGGCAATCGCGCCTTTCAGTTTTCTGGTTTTCTTCTCTGACAAACTGAAGATAAAAGGTTTCCTGTATTTGTTCATCAACAATTATTTCATTACCTCAAATCAATCTTGTGCGTCCTATTCCTATCAGCTCTTATTTTGCATATGGCTCACTGAACAGTCTAAATTTGATGTGGAAATATATCATGATGGACCATACAAGATGACAGCATATCATAGTTTGTAGAGAACAACATCCCGACGAGCATCACATGTTAACAATTAACAGAGGCACCCACTACTTTAACAGAGTAGGCAGAATTCAACATTCAGCAACTTTTAGAGATAGAAGATGTAGGCATGTAGCAGCATACAGAGCCAGGAAGTGTCATTTCAGCCAAGAGATGAGTTCAAGTGTTGAACTACCATGTTAACTAGTAGCATTTCTTAACCATGCTATCGACATGACCCTACAGTTCAAAAGCATCTTCAGTATCCACAATTCAAAGGCGTAGTCCATCTTCAGTATCCGGAAGGAACTTTACACCTCGGTAAAACTTAGTAAGTTGATTGATAAAACCTGTGCCGGTCCTTGCATTTCTTTAGCCTTAGCTGAAAAGAACAAATTGAGCAAGATACATCAGACCAGAAAAGGAGGACACTGATCGTTGAAATTATAATGATGCTATCGTCATCAGCTAGCGCTAGATGGAAATTCTAACATGTATGAAACGTTACAGAAAATTCTTAAATGAGAATAGCGCACAGTACACGACACAATGAATCTGAAACACGTGCAACATACAACAATATGCAGCCAAATCTAAAACTGTTGAGATATTGAACTCAGCACACACCATGAACTTAAATACAAAGCAGACATACGTATGTAAACAACATCAAACTATAAAATGCTTGGCGTGAGCTTGAGCACCTAGATGCTAAAGCACAGTGACGCCAACTAACAGCAATTTCGAAAGATTAGCCTCAAATCATACTTCAGCAATGTCTAAGATGCTGATGGGAGAAATAAGGCTCACCTGGTTGCTGTGGCCGCACTTCTTTTTGCGGCAGTTCTTGGCCCCAAGAGGCAGGCGAGCATAGCACCTGAAAGACAAAATCAAATAAAGATAGGCTCTCCCATCTGCATTACAACCACACTATCCTAATCCAACCTTTTCATTTGGCCAATTCGTATCCAACTTATCGTCTAGGTGATAAGTGAATCCAAGAGACATAAAGAAGAATAGGCAGGACTAAAATTGCAGATCAAAAGAGAAATGTGGTTTGGGTGTTTGTTCCACAACGCCAACTGTCATGTCTGATTGAACAACAAATTCTACTGTCAGATAGGTGTGATGTGAACAAATACCCATAGAAATGATACTATTTCGAAGGCCATACAAAGGTACCAGTAACTGACTAACGAAAATAATAATCTCTGCAGTAGTAGCAAAGTACTGACAGGGAATTGACATCTCAAAGCCTCAAACAGAAATAAAGTTTTGTTCATAAGGTGATTTTGCAGGTTCAAGTTCCAACCAACTCAATGTCATTTTTGGCATCCAATGAACCTCAATCCCATGCAACTAAATTAACTAGCCAGGATGAAGACACAGAAACCAGACGCGAAACTACCTGTTGAACGGATACAAAAGCAGTCCAAATCGATTATTGCACTCGCACGATTAAGTTGCACAGAGATCAGGCAAACACATCCATGTGTGTAGCTAATATGTGACTATGTGCTTACTTGCGGCATATCATTTTGTTGACGTTGTACTTGTACGCGAGCGCTCAGAGATTTGGTGAGATCCGCCAGCAGAAGTAGCCGCCGAGGAGGCCAAGCTCCAGGTGAAGCGTGGACTCCTTATGGATGTCGTAGTCGACCAGGGTGCGGCCGTCCTCCAGTTGCGTCCCTGCGAAGATGAGCCGCTGCTCCTCCACGGCGATACCTACACGAACACATGAACATCGAACGAGCAAGACTCAAACAAGGAACCCCCACGAAGAATCAAAGCAAAGCAAATCAATTAACATGGGGATCAGAATGAACTCGAGGTAGGGATGAAGAACGGTCCCGATCACGACGTGCTAATACCTTCCTTGTCTTGGATCTTCGCCTTGACGGTGGCGATGGTGTCGCTGCTCTCGACCCCGAGGATGACGGTCTTCCCCGTCACCGTCTTCAAGAAGACCTGCATCATCTCCTCCACCGTGATCTCACGCACCCGCCCCAGCTCTTGCCTTCTGGTTGGATGGATGAAGCTGAAGCGGAACCTAGGCGGCGCGCCGCGGGTGCGGTGCTTTGTAGCCGACACCCTCTCTTCAAGGCCCGGTACGTAGCGGTGCGGTAGCGCACCCGCCAAGTCACCGGGGAGAACCTAAGCTGCCAGCGTGGCTCTCAAGTATCAAATGGTATAATAGTTTGCCAGTGCCCAGTGTGTATCTATAGATAATTTTATTAGACGGCTCCCATCGATTTCTTTAAATAAAAATTTTAAAAAATGGCATACATCCTGTTACTAAAACTTCAAAACACCAAAAGAAGAAAAGGTTCAAGATATAATTCTCATTGTTCAAAGGCAATCATGTATCCCAAAAATGACATCCGATGCACTGTAAGGAAATACGCTCAGCAGTTTCAACCACTTCACAAACAGAAATGCAACTCCACATGCCCTGACTACAAGGATTATTAACATAAATAATAATATTAGTATTTTTATAGAATTAATCACAGCTTAAACTGATTGATTTTTTTTTGAAAAAAAAATAGAAGCACATTTTCTTTTGACGGAGAAAGTATCCAATGGAGCCACACCAAGAAACATGTTTCATAACACAAAATGAGGGCCCATTTGGTTCGCGGCCTCCCAATTAGCTTCCTGCCAAACATGTCATCCTGGCCCAGGCTATGATCTAGACTCCAAACGACCGAAATCAGACGCCTAGGAGTGCTGCCTGGGCCAGACAGCTCCACCAAGGAGAGAATCAAACAGGCCAGCATGCCAAGTAACAGTGTTCTTACTCTAACTGTGCAGCAAGTAAAAGAGAAGCAATAAATGCTCTTTCCGTTCTAAATTATATGTCATTATAGCTTTTACTATGTATCTAAATATGAAATGTATTTAGATACATAATAAAAGCTATATATGAAAAAAAGGCAGAGCTATTTATAATTTAAAATGGATAAAGTAATATTTTAATTCTTAGCCCCGGTGCCAGGCATTTCTAAGGTAACTCCGCAGCTCCAATGTTGTAGTTCCATTCATTCCATCTCTTCGTCGCACCTCGTTAGAACTAACGTTGGAGCTGCTCTTAATCATCGTTGGCGTAGATCGGACGAAAAGATCGGCCGGTTCATCGCCTGAGGCCTGCCTCGACAGCACCGCGAGACATGCCCTTCTGTCGACCGGCAACGGCTGCGCCGCGCGCGCGGCTGCCGTCGTCATTCAACACCCTCCGCTACAAGATTCACTCAGACTATTCAAAACAATGTGTTTAAACTTCCAACAGTGATGGGTACTATTGCAAACTTGTTTCTCCCAATATGCACTGCCCCTTTTTAATCAACACATCCAGCGAAAACTATACAGTGTGTTTAAATGCTGATGGAAAGTTACCCGATCCCTAAACTACCAATTGCAAAGTTGCCTCTTCCAGATTTCTCCGTGTGTGCCTGTCGAAATTCGATGGCTATGCAAATGCACAGGGGGGGGGGGGAAGTCTACTTTTGAACATCTGTGATATTTCTAAACATGTTGTCCTTTACAAGCATAGCTCCCTAAGTCTTGGAGGGGTGAATATTCACCAGGCAGCAAACATTGTCTGAGTATCCAGCGGCTTTCATGTCCCTACTCAATTTAGTGTACATGAGTCACGTCAAGGAGCTATCATTTTACATCTCCAATTCCCTGGAAGAACACCATAATATGATCCACAACTTCAACATTTGCACTGTTTGTTTTGTAGACATTCATAAGAAGTTGATTTGGAAGAATAGTTATATGTACCTCAAGCAACAGTGCTGCCCATGTCATGAAAACTCACATTTACATGGCAACATCATCAGGTTGTTGGGGGTTGGCTGCTGCGACTTGACGCCTTTGACGCTCTCGCAAGTAGAGGACAGTTACAAGGCAAGCAAAGAGAGTCAAAATTGTTGCATTCCCTTCATCCATGAGAACATCTTCCACCCATTCCTTAACAACAGGGTATATTTCTGGAAGTGAATCGATAAAACGAACCTGAAATTTGGAATTTTTTTAATCAAAACAATTGCCGATATGGTAACAAGAACGAATGCAAGCACTTGCCATGAATTGACTAAAACTACAAAGCACATCAACATGCAACAGGATCCAGGCTCAACATCGCCTTGTTCATGCAGTGTAGCCTAAACAAGACAACATGTGGCACACCATACTCGAAACGAAAAGCAGCTCATGAATTGGGGCTTGTTGGGTCATTTTATTTTCCAAAGAACCTTTGAAGGGGAAAAATTCTTGCATTGTACCATACAAGAATAGAGTTGACCCAAACCTTAGAGCTACAAAGTTAATTAGAGGAAAAAATGATCAAAACCCTGAACAGAAAAAGTAGTCCAAGTGGCTTGCAACACTTGAAAATTTGCCCAAAACTTTCTTGGGTTGCTTTAGAAGTACTTTCAAATCTTAGTGCAAAAAGGGCGTACCCAGTGCAGAGAGCTCCCGCTCTGTGCGGGGTCTGGGGAAGGGTGTCAGTGGCAAGCCTGTCATGTGGGGCCGCACATACTCAAGGACACGCCGTGCCCGCGACGTGAGGAGAGCCGCAGAGCGCGCGCGAGACCAAGCGGCAGGCGCAAGCGAGGCAAACTCCGAACCGGGAAGTGGCTAGAAGGCAAGAAGATCAGATCGTATCCCTTAATTATAGGAGTCTATTGTTAGCTTTGTTACTGCCGCATGGCTATATTACTCGTGTAAACCTGAACCGTGGAGGTTAAGCAAGTTATTATCCATCTAATCTCTCTCTCTTCTCCCTCCAACTAAGCCTAGTCGGCCGAGGGGCAAAACCTCAGCCCTAGACGACGACGGCAAGAGACTACGAGCTCCGTAGTCGAGGGCCAGCTACCCTAGGACACGACGCCCTTGACAACCTGGTATCACGATCCCGGCGATCCTCGCCTACACGCTCCACCTCGCCACCCCCACCACCACCGTACCGCCCACCACCTTCCGTCCGCGTCAACCTCATCTTCTTCTCGCGGCAAAGACTATGGTGACAATGGTGACCTCAAGGCCACCACGACACGCCACCGCAGCCGTCAAGATTTTGCGGGCCTCTCCGTCGAGGCCAACTCAAAGGCGATCCAATACACATCCACCGAAGCGCTCGTCCTCCTCGGGCACCAAGCCTCGGGTTCGCCGAACACCACAACGACCGGCACCAAGTTCCGAAGATGACTTTCCACGCTATGATGGGAAGTCCGATCCGTGATCTTCATCAATCGCTTGTGAATCCTACTTCCATCGCCAATGAAATCATGGAGGAGGAGAAGGTATGGATGGCCTCCTACAATCTGGAGGAGGGCGCACAGCTGTGGTACATGCAGGTCCAGACCGACGAGGGGACCCCCTCCTGGCGCCGATTCACCGATCTGCTTGAATCGTACTACGGGCATATTGAGTCTGCCCCTCTTCGAAGTTGGCGATTGCCGGCCAAGACGAGCACCGTCGCGAATATCAAGACCGGTTCCAGCGCTCTTGGCCCACGCCCCCTCTCGATGAATCCCAAATGGTCCAATCTGTTCACCAATGCCTCCTTCCGCCGCTCAGCATGGACGTCCGAATCCAGAACCCGCAAACCCTTGCGTCCGCCATGAGTCTCGCCAGGCAGATGGAGCTGCGGAAGCATACCGCGCGCCCCGGCCAAGGCCGCCACTCGGCCTCTCTCTGCCGACGCCATCATCCTAGCCCTCACGGCACCGCCACCACGGCTAGCCACGGCGCCCGCCAGCGCCAAGCCGCCACGCCACCACCATCACCGTGGAGGGCCGCCAGATCAAACGCCTTACTCAGGCGGAGCAGGAGGAGCGACGTCGCCTGGGCCTCTGCTACAACTGTGACGAGAAGTTCACCAGGGGCCACAACCGGGTGTGCAAGCACCTCTTCCTCCTTGATGGCATCGTGGAAGATGACGAGGCCGAATCAGCGGAGGCTACCGGGGATGACACCACGGCCAATGAGACGCCCCAATTCTCCCTGCACGCCATCGCTGGTGTGGCCTTCAGCAACACAATGCAGATCAGGGTCGCCCTGGGCGACGCGACTCTCACCGCCCTCCTCGACTCGGGTTCCACACACAACTTCATCTCTGAGGACGCCGCTCTCCGCTCCGGGCTGCCTATCCAACATCGCCCGCGCCTCACGGCTACGGTGGCCAATGGCGAACGCGTCGCGTGCGTGGGCGTTCTCCGCCACGCCCCGCTGGCCATCCACGGCGACACGTTCGACGTCGATCTCTTCGCCATGCCGCTCGCGGGCTACGATGTGGTGCTGGGCACTCAGTGGCTCACTACCTTGGGGCCGATTGTGTGGGATTTCAGCGCCCGCACGATGTCCTTTAGACGCCACGCCCGCGCAGTGTGCTGGCACGCACTCACCGGTCCGGCGGCCCCTGCCCTGAGCGCAACAGCGGCCAGCAGCTCTCTGTTGGAGGAACTTCTGACACCTTCTCCGATGTCTTCGCCGAGCCTCACGGGCTCCCTCCCCCGCGCAGCCGCGACCACAGCATCACCTTGGTGCCGGGGGCGCAGCCCGTGGCGGTCCGGCCGTACCGCTATCCGGCCCTGCACAAGGACGAATTGGAACGCCAGTGTGCCATGATGATTGACCAAGGGCTCATCCGCCGGAGCTCGTCCGCGTTCTCTTCTCCAGTCCTCCTCGTCAAGAAGGTCGACGGGTCTTGGAGATTCTGCGTCGACTACCGCGCTTTGAACGCTATCACCGTCAAAGACGCGTTTCCCATTCCCGTCGTCGACGAGCTTCTGGATGAGCTCCATGGCGCAAAGTTCTTTACTAAGCTCAATTTGCGATCGGGCTATCATCAGGTCCGCATGACGCCGGACGACATCGCCAAGACCGCGTTCCGCACCCACGACGGCCTTTACGAGTTTTTGGTGATGCCGTTCGGGCTATGCAATGCCCCGGCGACATTCCAGGCGCTT